ACAAACCTGCCAAGAGAGGGCCGCCCACCAAAACTCACGGACCAGGCAAGGAGGGCATTAATCAGAGAGGCAACAAAGAGACCAAAGATAACCCTGAAGGAGCTGCAAACCTCCACAGCGGAGATTGGAGTATCTGTCCATAGGACCACTTTAAGCCGTCCACTCCACAGAGCTGGGCTTTACGGAAGAGTGGCCAGAAAAAAGGTTTTGTAGCATAATAGTATGTTAGTAACTAGTATATTTTCTTTCTATGACCGGACTCATACCACTTAGTGTGCTGTGAAATCTGTTATGAATGTATTGTAATGTTTTTTTAAATGTAAAACTGCCTTAATTTTGCTGGACCCCAGGAATACAAATGCAAATACTCATGCGCCACACCAAAGTGCTTCACTTAACGAAATGTGTTTTTTCACGCACAGACGATTGATAGTCAAACATCAATAAGATAATTGTTGCTGTCTCACGACTAACTACTTTTTTACATGTCAGTACATGTTTTCTTGTTTTTTTTATGTTTTAAACTATGTTTGCCTGTTTACAGAGTGGGAGGATCTGGTAAATTACTATGGCGAGTGTGTGTTTAACTTAGCACTGTTCATAAGGTCTGCTCACGTATAAGAAACACTATTTAGTCGTCCCGCATCTGGTACAGATGTACTATCTTAATTTGACCAGTTTCTCACAGCAGGAAAATAATCCTGCAGTAACAGGAAATGTGAATTATTATGTCGATTATAATTAATGGACATTTTTGTAGTGGTTGATACATTTTTTTGTTAGGATAAATAAAGTCTGACATTTTAAATTAGAATTTACAAACTTTAGAAACCAGCCTTTTTAAACCTCAAATACACTACAATTTGCATTTCCTGCTGCACAGAAAAATTAAGATAGATACATCTGTAGATCTATACTCTCAGTAATGTGATGCTTTTGACAGAAATACTCAATCATAATTATCTCTATTCTCCACAGTGTCCATCACTCCAGACCCTGATAAGGTACATCTTGCTCTCACGTTTGGCAATAGAGCCCAAACAAATCAGCCCCCTGATGATCCAGGGAGGTTCAAGTCAGAACCCTGTATTCTGGGAAAGCAGGGATTCTCCTCAGGGAGATGTTACTTTGTTGTGAAGTTGAGTGGATCATGCCATGTAGGAGTGGCCAAGACGTCCATCAACAGAGAGAAAAATAATATGGCTCTGATGATGGTGCCTGGACTCTAAGATGTGAGGAGGGTAAAGTAGGTGTTAATGTGGGAACCCATGTCCCTATCTCCCTGAGCAAAGAGCTGAAGAGGGTGGGGGTATTTGTGGATTATGAGGAGGGTCTGGCCTCCTTTTACAATGTGACCAACAGTAGATGATCAAACTGAAGAGGGCAACTCTGATGAAAGGTCTGATATTTTGATTATGAACGATAATAAAATAAAAAGTCAAATAAGGTTGCCCTGTGTGGTCTAGCCGCTAGTGCAGGGCTCTCCAACCTTGTTCATGGAGAGCTACCGTCCTGTAGGTTTTTGCTCCAACCCTGATGTAGCGCACCTGAGTCAGTGTCAGCTGGATGGCTTGTCCGCCTCTCTACTGCTGGTCTCTGATCCCAGGTACCATATCTTACCATTGTGCCCTTTAGCAAGGCACTTAATCCCCCAAGACTGCTCTCCATCCAGGTGCACTGCCTGTGTGTGTCTGGAGTTGTTGGGAAAGGCAGAAGACAACATTTCTGTTCCAACCAATGGACAATAAAGTACAGTGCCTTGCAAAAGTATTCATCCCCCTTGGCGTTTTTCCTATTTTGTTGCATTACAACCTGTAATTTAAATGGATTTTTATTTGGATTTCATGTAATGGACATTTGGTGAAAATTGGTGAAGTGAAATGTAAAAAATTACTTGTTTCAAAAAATTCTAAAAAATTAATAACGGAAAAGTGGTGCGTGCATATGTATTCACCCCCTTTGCTATGAAGCCCCTAAATAAGATCTGGTGCAACCAATTACCTTCAGAAGTCACATAATTAGTTAAATAAAGTCCACCTGTGTGCAATCCAAGTGTCACATGATCTGTCACATGATCTCAGTATATATACACCTGTTCTGAAAGGCCCCAGAGTCTGCAACACCACTAAGCAAGGGGCACCACCAAGCAAGCGGGCACCGTGAAGACCAAGGAGCTCTCCAAACAGGTCAGGGACAAAGTTGTGGAGAAGTACAGATCAGGGTTGGGTTATACAAAAATATTTGAAACTTTGAACATCCCACAGAGCACCATTAAATCCATTATAAAAAAAATTGAAAGAATATGGCACCACAACAAACCTGCCAAGAGAGGGCCGCCCACCAAAACTCACGGACCAGGCAAGGAGGGCATTAATCAGAGAGGCAACAAAGAGACCAAAGATAACCCTGAAGGAGCTGCAAAGCTCCACAGCGGAGATTGGAGTATCTGTCCATAAGACCACTTTAAGCCGTCCACTCCACAGAGCTGGGCTTTACGGAAGAGTGGCCAGAAAAAAGCCATTGCTTAAATATAAAAATAAGCAAACACGTTTGGTGTTCGCCAAAAGGCATATGGTAGACTCCCCAAACATATGGAAGAAGGTACTCTGGTCAGATGAGACTAAAATTAAGCTTTTTGTCCATCAAGGAAAACGCTATGTCTGGCGCAAACCCAACACCTCTCATCACCCCGAGAACACCATCCCCACAGTGAAGCATGGTGGTGGCAGCATCATGCTGTGGGGATGTTTTTCATCGGTAGGGACTGGGAAACTGGTCAGAATTGAAGGAATGATGGATGGCGCTAAATACAGGGAAATTCTTGAGGGAAACCTGTTTCAGTCTTCCAGAGATTTGAGACTGAGACGGAGGTTCACCTTCCAGCAGGACAATGATCCTAAGCATACTGCTAAAGCAACACTCGAGTGGTTTAAGGGGGAAAATGTTAATGTCTTGGAATGGCTTAGTTAAAGCCCAGACCTCAATCCAATTGAAAATATGTGGTATGACTTAAAGATTGCTGTACACCAGCAGAACCCATCCAACTTGAAGGAGCTGGAGCAGTTTTGCCTTGAAGAATGGGAAAAAATCCCAGTGGCTAGATGTGCCAAGCTTATAGAGGCATACCCCAAGAGACTTGCAGCTGTAATTACTGCAAAAGGTGGCTCTACAAAGTATTGACTTTGGGGGGGTGAATAGTTATGCACGCTCAAGTTTTCTGTATTTTTTGTCTTGTTTCTTGTTTGTTTCACAAGAAACAATATTTTGCATCTTCAAAGTGGTATGCATGTTGTGTAAATCAAATGATACAAACTCCCCAAAAATCCATTTAAATTCCAGGTTGTAAGGCAACAAAATAGGAAAAATGCCAAGGGGGGTGAATACCTTCACAAGCCACTGTATCTATTCTACAGTTGGCATGGGTTTCAATCCGACTATTCTATTCTACAGTTGGCATGGGTTTCAATCCGACTATTCTAATCTACGGTTGGCATGGGTTTCAATCCGACTATTCTAATCTACGGTTGGCATGGGTTTCAATCCGACTATTCTATTCTACGGTTGGCATGGGTTTCAATCCGACTATTCTATTCTACGGTTGGCATGGGTTTCAATCCGACTATTCTATTCTACGGTTGGCATGGGTTTCAATCCGGCCCACTGACTTGCACTCTCTCCTTATTTTTTTCTCTTTCCATTGTCCTCTCCCAATAAACACAAATATGGAAAAGTCACTGTATAGAATTACTACATTGCAAAAATATTTTTCTTGCATCAATAATGCTGTATATTGATTGTGTAACTCAACCCCCTTTTCATGTATTTTTCCCACCTCATTTGACTGTGGAAGAAATTATCCACACCACCTGTGACCTTGTGGCATGCAATGATATATTGGTGACATGCAGGCTTGTACATGCCAGCAGGCTCACCACCACGTTCAAAGTTCTGATTTAAGTATGACTGGGATGTCACTTGTCACCACTGACCTTCTTGTTGGTTATAGACTACTACTAGATCATGAGGGGGATCACTGAAACAAATTAAATGGCTTTGGCTGTTCTTCCCTGGCCCTGTGTTCTATGCTGCCCTCTACAGGCTGCTGTGGATATAGCGCTTGTCTTTCCCCATTTCTGGTTTTGGAAAAATTCTAATTTGTCACAGTCAAATTGTTTGCTCTGATTTGTCATAAATGAATATATTACAATACATAATAAATTCTGATTGTGCACATTATTTTCATTGTCCTTTATTCAGCATGTGAGTGTTTTCATTTTACATTACATTACTGTAGTACACTGGGATCTAATCACACATATACTGAGTGTACAAAACATTAAGAACACCTTCCTAATATTGAGTTGCACGCACACAATCCATGTCTCAATTGTCTCCTCCCCTTCATCTACACTGATTAAAGTGGATTTAACAAGTGACACAAATAAGGGATCATAGCTTTAACCTGGATTACATTTTTTGTACACTAAGTTTATGAGCATTGCTACAGTCCTGCAGGTTCTTTAAAGTGAGGCTTTAAGCACATAGGATTTATTGGCTCACAATGAATGTAGGCTTTCATTTTAACCAGCTACTCCCATTAACAAAGCTCAAAATGGTAAATATTTGACTAAATGCTTGTTCTAATACTTCGGTTTTTGTCTTAAAATATTTATAGAACCAGTGTTTCTCATTGTCTTTAAGATAATTCGCAATTATAAGTAGGCCCTAATAATTAGTGTACAATTTATGCTCATCTTTACATATTTTAATTTTATTAAATGAACATGACAAATACACAAGAATATCACAAGAACAACAGGAAAATTGATGCTCATTGGGAACTTGTCTCCGACAGATACGTCATTCTAACACAATGGGTTGCCTGTGCCAACAGAGTAGTCACGCCATTTGACGTGAGACATTGCACCTGGAGTGAAATCCATCATTGTGTCCCCAGGATCAACATTGAAAAACGGTGGTGTATCAGACACTGCTGCCTCTCAGTGGCCAAAGATCCCATTAAAGTCTCCCAGCTGCTTGATCTGGTCTGTCTGCATGGAGTGTCTCCTCAGCAGCATCCTCTTGGTCCTCAGGTCTCTGGGGAGGCCAGAGGGAGCATAGTGGAGTAGGGGCCTCAGGCCTGCTACAGCCCCACAGACAGCCCTTCTGCTGGGGCTGCTACCCAGGACACAGGGGTTGGGATTGGGGAAACAGGTACTGGGGCAGGGGTTGGCCCCTCCGGCGATGTGAGGGATGGGGATGTGAGGGTGGGAGTTCAGGGGGGGGCAGGCACCCATGGCGGGTCAGAGAGTGCTTTCCTGGTCAGGCTTGGGGCCTCCAGTGACTCCCTGGAGCTCAGCAGGGTGGAGAAGCGTGAGGTGACCAGTCTTCACTCTCCAGTGGGGCTTGGCTGTCCTCTGAGAAGCCCCCGGTAGACACAGCCAGCTGGGGGTCAGAGCTGTAGTGGTCAGAACCCAGGTGGCGTCTCTGGATGATGCTGTGCAGGCTGGACACAGCCAGGCTGAGGAGGGGGCAGCCGGGAACTTTGGTTCCAATGAAGGAGGAGAGGAAAAGGGCACCTAGGCCTGTGCCAAGGCTGTGGGAGTGGAGGTTTGGGTTGGAGGCAGAGTGGGGCGAAGAGAGGCCGGCAAAGGACAACTTATGCACCAACAGCGCCCTTTCCTCCTCTCTCTGACTCCTTTCCCCTACCTCTTCCTCATTCAACCTCCCCTCAGACTTGCTAAAGCTAATAGCATTAGCAGTGTTGCGATCCAAGTCAGTACTGCAGTTGCACCGGATGGGGGCGCTGTTGTCGCAGTTGTTCCAGCCCAGCCTGCTGGTCATGAGGGAGAGCTCCTTTTCTGGGCTGATGTCTGGGAGGTCGTCTGGGGCACCGCAGGGCTGCAGGGCCAGTAGAGAGGCAGGGATCCTCTGCCAGGGCTCTGAGTTCAGCCTCTGGAGGGGCTGCAGCAGCCTTTCCACCCTGCTCTGCCCAAGAACCAGAGCATGTGACTGGATGTCAGGCTGGGAGCTCACTGCCTCACACCCAGAAGGTTGGTCCTCCTTAAAGTTGAAGACCTGCTGAGGAGGATGAGAGGAGGAGGGGGTGTACAGAGGGGAGGTGAGGAGCTGGATCTCAGAGGGTGAGGCGCAGGGAGGAGCAGTCGTCGGGTGCAGCAGGGTTAGAGGAGGCACGTTGAGGTACTGCTTGGTCCTGGACGTCCCACAGGGGAGTGTGTTGGTGGTAATGATGATCACCTCCTTCCCTCTGGTCTTGCAGGTGTCCAGCAGCACCTTCAGAGCCTCTTTGTCGCCGGCAGTGACTGCATGGACCAATGCGGAGCTCCCAGACCGGTCCTCCATGCCCGGGTCCGCTCCACTGGCCAGGAGCAGGGACACCACCCTGACCCCAGCCCTTCTCCAGGCAGGCATGCATCAGGGCTGAGTGGCCCGCCTTGTCCTGGATGTTGGGTCGGCTCCGCTCTCCAGCAGGTACTGGACCAGGCGGGTCGGCTGGTGCTCTGCGGGTCGGCGTGCCGCGTCTTACAGGCCACCATCAGGGCCGTCTGGCCATGCACGTCGCTCTCGTTGATGTAGGCCCCGCCCTCCAAGAGGAGACGCGTGAGGCGCAGGTGGCGAAGGAACACAGTCAGGAGGAGGGGGTTAGCCGGCTCGGGAAGGTCCCTCGTCACACCCTCCATGATCTCTTTCTCTGGCTTGTTGAGTCGACCTACACAGGTGGGGCTGTATGTCAGGCACTCAGACAGGGCAGGGAAGTGGTTGTCCCACTGGCTATCATAAGTTGAATGCACCAATTTGTAAGTCGCTCTGGATAAGAGCGTCTGCTAAATGATGTAAATGTAAATGTCTGTGGAGATGAGAGAGAAGGATTGGTCTGTTAGGTTTCATTAGATTTTACATCACCAGTCCTTGGTTGTGGGTGCAACAGCCATGATTCAACTAATTGAGTTATTTATGTTGATTGGTCAGTTAGGAAGGTGGGAGAAAAGGGCAGATAATGTGTGCAAAGGGTGGCTATTTGAAGAATCTCAAATATAAAATATATTTTGATTTGTTTAACACTTTTTTGGTTACTACATGATTCCATATGTGTTATTTCATAGTTTTGATGTCTTCACTATTATTCTACAATGTAAAAAATAGCAAAAATAAAGAAAAACCCTTGAATGAGTAGGTGTGTCCAAACTTTTGACTGGTAGTGTATGTAAGAATGCTGTTCATTGACTATAGCTCAGCCTTCAACACCATAGTACCCTCCAAGCTCATCATTAAGCTCGAGGCCCTGGGTCTGAACCCCGCCGTGTGCAACTGGGTCCTGGACTTCCTGACGAGCCGCCCCCAGGTGGTGAAGGTAGGAAACAACACCTCCACTTCGCTAATCCTCAACATAGCGTCCCCACAAGGGTGCACGCTCAGCCCCCTCCTGTACTCCCTGTTCACCCATGACTGCGTGGCCACACACTCCTCCAACTCAATCATCTGTTTGCAGTTTGCAGACGACACAACAGTAGTAGGCCTGATTACCAACAATGACGAGACCGCCTACAGGGAGGAGGTGAGGGCCCTGGTGTAGTGGTGCCAGGAAAATAACCTCTCCCGCAACGTCAACAAAATGAAGGAGCTGATCGTGGACTTCAGGAGCACGCCTCTATTTACATCGACGGGACCGCAGTGGAGAAGGTAGAAAGCTTAAAGTTCCTCAACGTACACATCACTGACAATCTGAAAGGGTCTACCCACACATACAGTGTGGTGAAGAAGGCGCAACAGCGCCTCTTCAACCTCAGGAGGCTGAAGAAATTCAGCTTGGCCCCTAAGACCCTCACAAACTTTTACAGATGCACAATTGAGAGCATCCTGTCGGGCTGTATCACCGCCTGGTACGGCAACCGCACGGCCTGCAACCGCAGGGCTCTCCAGAGGGTGGTGCGGTCTGCCCAACGCATCACCGGGGGCACACTGCCTGCCCTCCAGGACACCTACAGCACCGATGTCACAGGAAGGCCAAAAAGATAATCAAGGACATCAACCACCCAAGCCACGGCCTGTTCACCCCGCTACCATCCAGAAGGGGAGGTCAGTACAGGTGCATCAAAGCTGGGACCGAGAGACTGAAAAACAGCTTCTGTCTCAAGGCCTTCTGTCTCAAAGTCTGTTTGATTGAGTGTGTGGACAGGTGTCTTTTATACAGATAACAAGTTCAAACAGGTGCAGTTAATACTGGTAATGAGTGGAGAACAGGAGGGCTTCTTAAAGAAAAACTAACAGGTCTGTGAGAGCCGGAATTCTTACTGGTTGGTAGGTGATCAAATACTTATGTCATGCAATAAAATGCAAATTAATTACTTAAAAATCATACAATGTGATTTTCTGGATTTTTGTTTTAGATTCAGTCTCTCACAGTTGAAGTGTACCTATGATAAAAATTACAGACCTCTACATGCTTTGTAAGTAGGAATACCTGCAAAATCGGCAGTGTATCAAATACTTGTTCTCCCCACTGTATATATTCTTAAATCCCATTCCTTACTAGTTTTGTGTGTATTGGGTATATGTTGTGAAATTGTTAGATATTACTGCGCTGTCGGAGCTAGAAGCACAAGCATTTCGCTACACCCGCTATAATATCTGCTAAACACGTGTATGTGACAAATAACATTTGATTTGATTTGATTACTCCTCAAATCTAATAACAATCGCTCCCTTTCCCTCCCATATTTCTGGCACTGAAATAGAACGTGTTCCACCGTCTCCATCTCCTCCTGACAATGATCACACCTCCCAGTCGGATGTTTCCCCACCAATTTCAATGTACTACTGAGCCTTGTGTGTCCCAGTCTCAGCCTTGTGATTACACTTTCCTCCCTTCTCTCTCGGCCTGGTGACCTCCCTGCCACCACCTTTTCCTGAATCTTATACAGGTGTCTTCCCTTTCCCACAACTCTTGCCATTTGGTTTTAACCACTGTTTTTATCAACCCCTTGGCTTCTGCTTTACTGATTGACAATTACATCTCAACGTTAGGATGTTTAAGAGCCTGCTTGGTGATAACATCCACCTCCTCATTCCCCTCTACTCCCACTTGAGCTGGTACCCAGAGGAACATCACAAATACCCCCATCTGTCTCACCCTATACAAGCACTGCAAAACCTCATATAATACATCCTGTCTGCTCTGAGACGCAAATTAATTTAAGCTCATCAGTGCTGCACTGGAGTCAGAACAGATGACTACCCTGTCTGGCTTCACCTCCTCCACCCACTCTGCAGCCAATAGTATGGCCATCAACTCCATTATGTAAATAGATAAATGATCCATTGTTCTTTTTGTCACTGCCACCTTAAACTCAGGAACACTAAAAGCTGCAGCTGTCCTCCCTGTTATAGGGTCCTTAGATCCATCTGTGAATATATTCAAGAAAACATAGTATTGTGTTCCTAAATGTTCACTTACAACTGAATCTACTCCTTCCTTACCCTCTCAAGCAACCATAGATCTATCACTGGCTGAGGGAGCAACCAAGGTGAGATAGCAGGAAGAACCACAGAGGGGCTAAACTCCCTCCCAAACAACCCCATCTCTCTCGCCATGCCATTTCCTATCCACCCAACATTTTTATTCAGATTTCGTTAATTGTTCCCAGCACTCTAGGAGTACCTTTTTCTAGGATGTGTAACCTTATGTAACAATATTACCCAATATGTCATGGTTAATTGTTGTCTTCTTAACTTTAACAGCTGCCACCGGGGAGGTCCTGAGTGCACCACAACATCTAGCTTTTTAAAAAGACGTCTGAGCTGCTGATCAATATGCTACACTTCCATAGTCCAGTTCTTGTTCTTATCTATTAATGTTCTGTATTATGTCATGTTTCATGTTTGTGTGGACCCCAGGAAGAGTAGCTGCTGCTTTTGCAACAGCTAATGGGGATCCTAATAAAATACCAAATAGCAGTGATGACCTTAACAGCGCTATATATAGCATTTTCAACGCCATTCTATCTGACCCCCCACTCCATTCCTGACAGGCAAAGCATCAAATTCAATATTTTCTTTCCTTTGACAACTACTCTGTTACTATGCTCTGCCCATGTCATTAGAGTTTTAAACCAGACCCCCAGGAACCTAAACACTCCCACCCTCTCCAGATTCATTCCATACGACTTCGAATATATTTCCTCCCCAACCTTGCTTCTAGAAGAAAACACAGTCTGTGTTTTCTCAACTGAGAACTTGAAGACCCACCTGAGGGACCACTGCTCAACTTCACTGATTGCTTCCTGAACTCTACTGGCTGTATGGGTAATATTTCTCCCTCTCTTCCACAGTGCCCCATCATCCGCAAACAATGACCTCCCAATATCAGATCTCACCTGGGAGAATACATCGTCAATCATAATGGAGAACAACAAAGGACTAATGACACTTCCCTGAGGGGTACCATTATCTACCTCATAGCTTTCTGACATAGAGCTCCCCACCCTCACTTGTATTGATCAGACTCTGGTCCTGGACAAGACAGATATTTATATTAGGTTTTATTTGCTGCAGTCAGTGTCTAATTGTCCAAACGCACAGCCACTTTCCCACTCTATATTGCTATAGAATTTTCACAAATGCCTTACTATATGTCATTGCCAAACATTCTATGAAAACATGAAAATGACCATATTTTTTGGGGGATCATTTAGCAGATGCTCTTATCCAGAGCGACTTACAGTTAGTGAGTGCATACATTATTTGTTTTATACTGGCCCCCTGTGGGAATCAAACCCACAACCCTGGCGTTGCAAACGCCATGCTCTACCAACTGAGCTACATCCCTGCCGGCTATTCCCTCCCCTACCCTGGACCAATTGTGCGCCGCCCCACGGGTCTCCCAGTCGCGGCCGGCTACGACAGAGCCTGGATTCGAACCAGGATTTCTAGTGGCACAGCTAGCACTGCGATGCAGTGCCTTAGACCACTGCGCCACTCTGAAGCCCCACCTGGGGGTGTATATGAACAGATTGTAATAAGATTTCATGTTGCTAAAATGCTGTCAGTTCCACTTTAAAGGGGCTAGGCTATAGGACACCAGCTAACTGTAACTGTAAATTGCCATATTGGCATTGTTGCATCACTGGCAGGAGAGTTTTGGAATTCCTGAATTTACTGAGACCATGACCTTTGTGTGCATTAATGAGTATAATTTGCTGGTGTCAAACCATATATGAAAAAATTATACATAAGCTGAAAAACATGCATTTCAAATGATATGACATACAATACACACAATCAAATGGTATTCAGTCAAGAAAAAACACCTGTGAAAATGTGTATCTTGTATGAAAATAAACACTTATTTCCCAAACAACAGCCATTTACACAACTTCCTAATCAAGATAGAGAAAGACTTAGAGCATATTGAGGTGAAAATCTGAAATCAGAATAGTCATACCTTTTACTGTGAATGAGTTACAGCTGTTTTAGTGAAGTGTTATTTTTCTAGAATTCTATGGATGTTCCTTCATATGTTTATAATATATTAAAACATAGTACAAAACATTAGGAACACCTTCCGTTGCAGTTCTTGACACAAACCGGTGCGCCTGGCACCTACTACCATACCCCGTTCAAAGGCACTTAAATATTTTGTCTTGCCCATTCACCCTCTGAATGGCACAAATACACAATCCAT